TAAAGGGTTTATTCACTAAACACCGGATTTTGTCCGGACGGAAAATGACCGAATTACCACTGCGGTGGTAATTCTCATATTTACTAAAGCTCAAATGCAGTCGGAATTCGGTTGGGCATTGGAGAGCATCTGCAGAAATTGCACGGCTGCATTCAGTGTCTGATTGACATTTTGTGCTTTTGCACTGGAATCCTATATAAGGGATAGGATTCGGAAGATTCACAAAGCATTGGTGTGACGGACCGCTGGCACTCCGACCGAGTACCTCTGCCAATCGATGCTCCTAGCGCTTGCCGAGGACTACGAGCACTCCAACTGACACCATCAGCACTGCGGACCCCACTTCCAGCAATGCAGCTGCGCCGGGGTCTCGCCGTCTCTCACCCACCCTGGATCCACGATCAGGATCCAGCTCCCAGTGGGTGAACCTCTCCTAAATCCAGAGAGCGTAGCAGGAACAAATCAAGCTCTTACAAGAGCTTACTCTGGGGAGTAAGGGATTATAGCAATCCCCAGAGTGTAGGTATCCCTTCCCCCAAGCATGAGCCAAGGCTTCAAGAAAGGTGCAAGTAGGTCTGGTTTATTGAGGGCTACCTGCCCGTTATTTATGCAAGTGACCACCAGGTGGACACTCCCCTAGGGGACCTGATGGAACAATGGGACACATATTGGATATTAGCCAATCACAGACAATACAAAGAAAACACTCCCACGGTGACATCACAATCCCTCCTCTCTATCCTTGAGATAATTGGGAAGTAATCAAATTATCTCCCAGGACAGAGGCAAGACTCCATTAACCACATGGTTACAAAAAGACATAAAATTACACAATGTTACAATTACTACATAAAACATATCCCCAGATAGCTTAGATCTGAGTGCACATTATTACCGAATGGCGCTCAGATCACCTACACGTACAGTTCAATCGCCATGGAGCCAAAGTCTTTTCCATAGTCTTTTGTTACACGAATAGGCTCCATGGCATAGCTATCTGGGGTAGCACTACTCACATACTGAAAGTCCCGAATGCCCCGGCAGAAATACACAAATAAACCTTTGTGCAGGGGAAAATACAGCTATCAGCACAGGGGCCATAGTCGGAAGGCAGGAGGCTAGCCAGTAGTCACCTCTAGGCACAAGTGGCGAAGGGCACTTCGTCACAATTGGTTTTAATAAAATTCAGAACAGAATGATGCATGTTTGCAAAGTATAATTCGCTTGCCTTCATACAAGTGTACAATAATTTTAAACACTATTTGCCAGCTGGCAACACCATATTAAAAAATGTAATTAAAAAATGCCTATTACTACAGTGGAGGTACTGTACCCCCATATGACACAACCTGCCATGCGGCAGGTGGGAGCATATTTCCAAAATGTCTAAACCTTGGCCTCATACCCCTCTGAAATTACAGGTACATATATAGTACCCCACTGCCCCCACCCATGACACATTAATTTTTAAATAAAGAAAAATGCTGACCGAATTTCCGACAAACTGAACAGACAAGTAACCAAATTGGGGGAATGAGACTGAATAATTTGCCGGAATTAACCAGCAAAAACTAAAATGCTTTCCATGCACGTGCCTAGAAATTAAGGATATTGGACATTAAGTAATCATTAAATTGAGAACGATTTAATTGTAACGCATAATATTAAACGTAAACTTTAAAATATAATGTACAATCAGTAAAAAAATACATAGACAATGGCACTGGCAATAGTTTGCATCTCAAACCTCAAACTATACAACATGTAGAAATTAACTACAATAAAATATAAAGAATAAAAAAAAGGATCAGGCAATCACTTAATTTGCTGACACTTTAATACAGTGTGGTAAACCTGTAAAATCAAAGGTGAATAATTTCACAAAACATGCATTGATTTTATAAAGTATTTATTATATTTTTGTAAAAAAATGAGTACTAAATAATGCAGAGATGTATATCAAACATATAACATCATTTTGAACAGTTGAAAATTTTTAGTATTTTGCCCATGTCCACACCCATGAAAGCCATTATTGAAAGTCCTTGTTTTGAGAAGTCACAAAGTCTACAACTGACCATATTCACTCCTAGCTGTGTTTAGTAGTGTGATGTCAAACCTGTCAGGTTAATCCTAAATTCTCATGTGAAGCATTTCCACAATTTCAATTTATTTATGAAGCAAAGGGAGCTCAGTGTAAGAATCCCTTTCCATTGCGTTGAATCATTTAATGTTGCTTGCTATTTGTGTTTGGCATCATGTTCTTCTGAGCCTTTTTTTTTGGTGACACATTTGTTCTACTGGCATTTTAACAGAAAACAAGAGATTACAAGAAACGATCAGAAAATGAATACTCATCACAGTTAGAAAGTAATGAAAATGTGAGCACATAAGAGAAACAGGTCAGGCAGCAAGGCTATACCAGGACACTTTTCTGTATGCACTAACATGTACATTATGGATTTGAAGAATCCTAGGAGTGATCAACAAGATAATGAAGCATATTTGAAGGACAAAACCAGGGCAGAACGAGTAATGTCAATTTGACCAAACATGCATCACTCACCCGACGAAGCATACGTCAAAAGGCTGATATTGAAATCACTATGTCACTAAGTCTGCTTCCTCACTGCTGGAGCACTTCAAACCCAGTCGCCGAAGCTTGGCTGGGATCGCTGAGGGCCTTTTCCACCCTGGACCAGGCTACTGTGATTATAGCTCTGGGAACTCTTTCTCCAGAAGTGCAGTGATAATTTCCCCCAAACACCAGACGACATTCGGTAAAAATTAAAAACAAACACAACCTTTATCGATAACAGCACATCTTTTAATACCCCCAACAGCCCCATTTACTTACAAAAGGGTTACAGTGGTACCCAATCATACTACATATCCCAAGCTAACCAATAGCATTATTGACTTAGAATAACAACCGATCACACTACAAAGCTTACAACCAGTGTGAATAGAGCCATGTAATTATCAGGAACAGGAGGCTGTGGTGTGGGAACTTCCATCACAATATACACACTGATCAGTCACAACATTAAAACCAGCTGCCTAATGTTGTGTAAGTTTCCCTCGTTCTGCCAAAACAGCTCTGATGTGAGGCATGGTGTAACAGCCACCCCGAGTATCAAGGGGTGTAGGCCGTTAGAGACTTTCTTTTCCCTTGGAAGTGCTGTAGTATTCTCCAGTTGTCATCTCAGCCTACCAAATATCTAATAAGGCAGTAGAGCTCTTACAAGAGCTAATGATATAATTGTGAAGCAGGTTCCCTACAAGCACAAGACAAGGCTACGTGTTGAGGGTTAAGCAGAACTGAATTTTAATGGCAGCCGCACTGGCCTTTTATGCAAGTCCCCAAGCAAGGATGACACCCACATGGACCTTGTTGGGGACAGGGACACAAATCACAACAGCATTGTAATCTGAGGCACTCCCACAGATATCATACAATCCCTCACCTCTGCTTGGGAGATAATTAAGTTAATTACTATATCAACTCAATTATCTCCAAACGAAAAATAACATATTTTATACATTTTCTGGAAACACCCCAAAATCACATAACCCCAATATCCCCTGATAGCCCTGATCTGGGTGAGCAACATATTCAAAAATCACGCAGATTGGTCCAGGGGTTAAAAAGTTGCATGGAAGTCCCATTTTTGACTTGCCGCACACGAGGCTCCTGCCCAGAATAGTTCCATGAAATCAGCTGGTGCGGCCAGTCTCTTTTGTGTATTTCAAAATGTGGAACAATGTCTCAATTAACCGTTCATGTGTAAGGTAGTCGTGTGCCTCTTTGTTCGGGAGTTCCCTCATTTAAACACACACACTGCACCCCTGACACTCACAGAACCCTCACTTACACATACACACACACACACACACACTGCACCCCAGACACTCGCAGCACCCTCACACACACACTGCACCCCTGACACTCACAGCGCCCTCACACACATACACTGCACCCTCCCATACTCAGCTTCCTCATACGCACATAGCACCCTCACTCAAACACTGCACCCTCACACACATTGCACCCATCACTCACACAGCACACACACACTGCACCCCTCACACACACAGCACCCTTACATACACAGCACCCTCACACACACACTGCATCCCTCTTGTACACACACTACACCCCTCACACACACGCACACACACACACATCACCCTCACACATGCACAATACTTTTTCCTGGCATTTTTGTCTCCTGGTATCCCTTCTATGGAGACACAGTGCAAGCATATTATTAAATTTGCTTGCGCTGTGCAGAACAAATACAGGGCCTTTTTCTCATGCTAGAGCTCTTCAGCAGAGCTCTGTGCATGGTCTACCCTGGAAGAGCATTGAACCAACATGCTAGCTTTGTGATGGCACGTGCTTGTCATTGGTGATTACAAAACACACCCTATCTGGCCCCGTCCCCTTTTCAGTGGGCCACTGTAATAAAAAAATGCTTGGGCTGAATTTTCTTCCCAGTCCGGCCCTGCTTTGAACTCTTATCATATTCCTCAATCCATTCCTGAACTAGTGTGACAGTGTGGCAGGGTGCGTTATCCTGCTGAAAGAAGCCACTGCCATCAGGGTACACCATTGCCATGAAAGGGTGTTGGCAGTCTGCAACAATTTCTAGGTAGGTGATACATGTCAAAGTAACATCCACATGAATGATAGGAACCTTAGGTTTCCCAGCAGAGCATTCCCCGAGGTAGAACACTGCCTCCGCCAGCCTGCTTTCTTCCCATAGTGCATTGCGCTGTCATCTCTTCCCCATGTAAACAATGTACACACACCCAGCCATCCTCTTGATCTAAAAGAAAATGTGATTCATCAGACCTGGCAACCTTCTTCAATTGGTCTATTGTCCTGTTCTGACACTCAAGTCCCCATTGAAGGCACTTTTGGCGGGGAACATGGGTCATCATGGGCATTCTGACCTGTCTGCAGCTATGCAGCCCCAGACGCAGCAAACTGCAATGCACTTTGTGTTCTGACACCTTTCTATTATGGACAGCATTAAGTTTTTTTATAGAAATTTGAGGTACAGTAGCTATTCTGTGTGATTGGGCCAGATGGGCAAGCCTTTGCTCCCCACGTGCATCAATGAACCTTGGGCACCCATGACTGTGATGTCGGTTTCTTGCACCACTTTAAGTAGGTACTACTACTAACCACTGCATACTGGGAACACTGCACAAGACTTGCTGTTTTGGACATGCTCTGATCCATTTGTTTAGCCATCACTATTTGGCCCTTGTCAAACACATTCAGACCTTTTCGCTTGCCCACTTTTCCAGCTTCCAACACATGAAATTCTAGAACTGACTGTTCACTTGCTGGCTAATATATCCTATCATTTGACAGGTGCCACGCTATAATCAATGTTATTCATTTCACCTGTTGGTGGTTTTAGTTGTGGCTGTTCTGTGTATATATCTGCCCAAGAGGGCTGCGCTCACCTGAACAAGCATACATTATAAGGGTGCTGTTGGGGCCAATTCATACAACATACAAGGTCTAGTGCTCCCACTCAGTTACTATAGCCCTGAAGGAGGCATACTGTAACTAATTCCCATTATTTTAGATTAGGTTAGGTATCTTTACAAAAACTATTACATTCTATGAGCTTTGAAAATGCTGTTTAGTGATTGAGTGAGTGCGCTGGACCTTGTACGTTGTATGAATTGGCCCCAGCAGCACCCTTATAATGCATGCATGTTCAGGTGAGTGCAGCCTCTTTCATATATATATATATATATATATATATATAAATATTAACTGGTTAATTTGGGCATAAACTGTAATTTCCTTTCTTTATAAGTTGAACACTTTCACACTTGTGCTGTTAAGGTATTTAAGCATTTGCAATTAGTTTAGTGCATGGGTCCTCAAACTCCAGCCCCCCAGATGTTGCTGAACTACAACTCCCATGATTCTCTGGCTATCTATGTAATTCAAAGAATCATGGGAGTTGTAGTTCAGCGACATCTGGGGGGGGGGCGGAGCTTGAGGACCCATGGTTTAGTGAATACAAGGTCAGTCAGGCCCAAGAGTCGTCTCTAGATGCCTAAGAAGTAGAATTGCTCTTCACAACAAAACATCCAAGGCATTCAAAAAGATTTTTAAAAATTTGAGTGGAGAGGAGAAAAAAAAATACAAAAGGGTGAAAAAACATAACATATTTATGTTATAAGAAAAAAGGTAGGCCTAGGGAAAATATAAAAAAAATAAGATTCATCCTGTCAAAAATGTAAACAGGCCTGTAAGGCTGTGGGGTAAACGTATAAATATATGTGAATAAAATATGGATCTAGGCATAAAGATAATTAAAATTTAACTATAATAACAGTTTGCATGGAATGTTCTTATAATAATCATATTCTTTCATTTTTATGTATGTATATGATGGATTGTGGACGGAAAAAAACTGTTTTGTCTTTTCTTCCCTTTTACCCTTTTGTAGCCCTTTCCTTTGTTATCTTTTCCAAATGCTTTTGCAAAGTTTCTATGAAGTAGAATTGCCTTGTGAGAAGCCAAATTATTTTCGTATCTTGTGGAGCATGATTTTTTTTTCTTATAAGCTTAGGATTCTGAACTTATATTGACATATGAAGGTTAACTATAAACGTTACATTAATATATTAATGAACTAATTACGTGGTTACGCAGAAACCTTTACATTGGGATTGTGGAAGACTTGCCCAATGTACAGTGTACAATGTACTTGATAACGAGTTGATTAATGAGCTATCATCTTATGTTACGTGGTTTTTATTATTCAATATTTAGCAAATACATATAGCCTATGCCTATTTTACATAGATTTGCTCTAAACACCTTTATTGAAATTACTGTGTTCTGGGTTTTAGCAGTGACTCTTGGCCAAGATGCAATATTGGAATCTATTATAGCGAATGCCCTCTGGTGGAACAAATAATATATGAGGAACTTGAGCAGATGCTACCCAGCGTAGCTAGTGACGGTCCCCTTGTGGCTTCTATCTCCTGTTGACTTACACAGATTTACTGATTGTGTTGCTGCTAAAACATAACAGCTGCTGACAGAAAGCCATCGTTTCTTTGTCTTCTCTTCGTGCATTGCTTTCAATGTTCCACTGGCTTCTGTGAAAACCCTTGTAGATTTGTCCCATCTGTTGTTGGTACAGCATGTTAAAATGGCTGTATTTATATCCTTCTGCTTTTGGTAAAAAAAAAAAAGAGACATGATTGAAATGTAATATGCATACCCAGAAGCTTGAGGTTATGCCTCACAAAGACACCCCTTTGGGTGAAACCTATAGGGGCTCTGAATGACCACAATGCAATTTTTAAAATTACTTTATTGTGACAGAATATTATTTGATTTGGATCAATATGAATATTAAAAAAAAACTTCTGTGCTTTAGTAATACAAAGTAACCTTCACTGATTCAAAGATGGCAGGTTGAATTGATACCATTTTTCACATATTATGTAAAATAATAAGATAAGAAATGTTATTTAATAAAATAGAGTTAGAACAGAATTGAGAAATAAGAGATTTGACCACAGTAGATTTCCAATTAAACATATGGCTTTTTTGCAAGCAGCTGACCAGGAAAGGATTAAGAATCCACTGGGTCCTCGGTAGGTGTTTCTCCAGTATTCTTTATGGATGATGAATGGGGTTAAGTAAATTCATAGTTTTGTAGACCATTTGTAACTCCCAGCCCCTAAGTTGCTGCCTAATGTTGCCTTATGGGTAATCCTGCTGACACATCAGCTTCTGAAAATGTACCATGACTACCCTTTATGCATTAATATATATATTAATAAATTGAAAAAAACGCTAGTTAGTCCAGGAGTGCACCTTTGTATCATTTATATATATATATATATATATATATATATATATTTTGAGTAGTGGTCTAGACATTAGTCATCTTGTTTATCTAGCACGTCCTCTATTTATGCACAATAGTCTCTGCAATGATAGATATCTACCCCAACATTCATTGCAGTAAGAGGTGTATTTCTTCCCTTTTGGGCAGGGTTCTCTTAATCTATTGTTCCATATGTCAAACATGTCTTGTTAAAATTAAACATTTGTCTTGTTTACATATTGTACAGCACTGCAAAATATGTTGGCGCTATATGAATAATTGTAATTGTTATGGAAATATACCCACTTAGTGACCAGACCGTTTTTCAATTTTCTTAATTTTCTTAGGGCTGTTTTTACATTTCTGCAGTGTTTGTGTTTAGCTGTAATTTTCCTCTTACTCTTTTACTGTACCCACACATATTATATGCCGTTTTTCTCACCATTAAATGGTATTTCTAAAAATTCCCTTGCCATCATATCATATAATTTACTATAAAAAATTATAAATATGATGAAAATATGTAAAAAAAACACACTTTTTCGAACTTTTACCCCCAAAATCTGTTATGCATATACAACCACCAAAAACACCCATGATAAATAGTTTCGAAATTTTGTCCTGAGTTTAGAAATACCCAATGTTAACATGTTCTTAGCTTTGTTTTTGAAAAATTATACACAAATCAACAATGAATAGGCGTTCACTAAAATAAAAGCATGGAAGGCAGCAGTTAACCAGCAAGTATTCCCAAACCTTGCTCAAGTACAAAATGTGAAAGAAAGAGGTGTGGTAAACCGCCCCAAAGGAGGAAGACGTATAAAGAATCAATATATATATATATATACACTTAATGAGGTCCAATATTGAACGGATGTATGATGACATCAAAAATATAGAATAGGAAAAGGTGATCCTCGTCTTAGGATGCATGAGTATTTCTTGTATTGGACATCCAATTCTCAGCAACCATATGGAGAAAAAACATAGGAAGAAAAACCAATGGCACAGTGTAATGTAAGTAATATGAGATGGAAAAACAAATAGGTATATTACTTAAAATTTCCAGAGCAATCCCCACCTGGGACGCGCAAGAATCAAATGCAGTAGAACAGCAGCAGGATAAGGTAAAACAATAAAATAAGGGTATATTGCAGGAGTTAACTTTATTGTATTTTAAAATAGATATATAGTAAATAGAATCAAATGCAGATAAAAGGGGGAAAGGTGCTCCAGTTCTCACTTAAAGCGTTACACCTATATATATGCTTCTTCAGAAGTGTGGATATTCAAGGAGACTGTCACTGTATTTAAAAGCTGTTCCATTATCTTTAGTGATATGATGAAGTCTAGATGATGGCTCCACAGGTATGGGATGAAGTGGTACGATCCCCACTCTAGGATATAGGTGATATAGATCTCTCTCTCAATATATATAGAGTGTTCTGATACAGAACTGAAACATTGATCCACTGTGGCATTTGCTGAATAAAAGCTACGTTTTTTTTCACCTTACTACAAAGTCCTTTGAGTGCTATCTGTTCATAGACTGTTGTAGTTTTGCTGACAAGCACTGGGCTTATTCAATCCTTACTACTGGAGTGCAAGCATTGGATATTTTTATATATATATATATATATATATATATATATAAATACACTTTTAATAATGATTTATGTATGTGCATATAAAAGTACTTAGATCATATATATATATATAGACATAGCAGAAATGACAGCACTCCAAGGACTTTATAGAGATTTTCAAATAAAATTTTACTTTTATTCAATCCATTTAAAAAGTCAACGTTTCATATATGATCTAAGTACTTTTATTTACTTTTTTAAACTTTTCTTTAACTTTTCAAACTTTTTTCAGGCACTAGTGGGCCTGCAGGCAATGCACAAGCTGGCTATTCCGGCTATGCGATCGCGAGGACCCCATAATCACATGGGCAGGGATGGCCGGATCGGGCAGTGGTGGTCTGTCTGAGCTCCCAGGCAGACCCCAGGATCACGATCGCTGGAGGGGGATTGCCAGCGATTAGGTAAGTCCTGATCTACTAAAAAAAATTATATTTTCCTATCTATCTATCTCGCATGCCGAGCCTAGGTAAATTTGCCTGCTAAATCACACCTGCGATCCAGTGTAAAGGACAACTTCTCCTGCCCTAGCCTTGTAATGTCACTCCCTGCAGAGTGATGGACATCCTGGAGGATGGGCCGAGGGGAAGAGTTGGACTGCAAAACAGCCACCGTTGTTCATTTGTCACCAGCATTCTATGTGTGCTTGTGATAGTTACCAAATATGCATCCATTTAACATTAGTCAGTTTGGAACTTTCTGGAGTTAGAC